ATCATGGGTCCCCGTATAGGACACCGGAAAACACGGGAAATGTTTAAAACGAATCCGGCCCCATATGAAGTGGCTCCAAATTCGCATAAAAGCAGCGGCCATCCCCCCTCCCACCACACACGCTCTTCCAGGCCTAGCTTTGCCCTGCACACGTGTGGCATTATTGGACATGTGTTGTTCCCTTATCTAGAGCCAGACGATATTTGGCGATACTCAGCCTCATCGATTTGGCTCCGACCTCAGAAAAAGTGATTTTTTTGGGCAGCGGACTACTGGGACTGTGATTGTTACAAGACCCTATAATTATGCCTGATCGTTGCTGTTCCCCCATGATGCAGTTCAGCCACCAGCCACCCGTGAAAGCTGTAACACGTGCCTTCTACCGACAGAAAGTGTGATTAAGTAAATTGCTACTGTTTCCAACACTGCATAAAGCCAGAGAAGATAGGATCTGACGGCTAACCAACAGTACCGATTATCTGCCGCGAGTTCAATCGATAATACGAAATGATCAGTGTAACCTCCCTGCCCCCCTCCCCCAGGTGGCTAAGGGAGAAAGGAGTGTGGTAGAGTGTGCACAAATCTACCATCGCTGTAATCCAAGCCCGCACAAGGTTTCGTCACACACACACACGGCGGACATCGTCGGCAAGAACGGTCCAACTATCATAAGGCTATCGACCCTAACCGAATGGCCGTTATGTGATGATGTGTTCAGCACTTTACCCGATGGTTTAGATTGACGTAAAAAGAACTTACCTGGTGTGGTCCTCATTTACTAGGCGGCCATAATCGTCCGTGTTTTTAGTCCCCTCTGGGAAAAAGGATGTGAGGGCAGCTTTGCACTGCTCGATGAACTTGTCCTGAAACGAAAAAAAGAACTTTCCAAATATCTAGCGTAAAATGCCTAAATCAAGGGTGGTAGGCCATGTAAAATTAGTCAATTCAGTGTGGAATATGTGCAATCATATCACCTAAAAATCACGAAATATATCAGGACTACGCATCCTATTGAAGAGAACAAATGTGTCACGATGGTAAACGGTCGGTACGCGTTGAGAGTTGTGTCTTCGACAATTTCCAATTGACCGGGCTCTCCAGTCTAAGATTGAGGGTGCAGGGTCTCCTTCTTAGACGAGTTGTGCACGAGTTTGCCGTTTTTTACCAGTCTTTTCCAACATCCTCCAAAAGCTATTCCTTCTTAAGGTAACCGGTGCGACATTGCTGACAGATAGCCGATCGGCCTTTGCACACGGGGCTTGCCCCATCAGCTCACATCAACCGCCTTT